CAAAAATAGATCGATATTATAATTTTCAGAATTCCAATTTCTAAAAAATTCACAGATTCTTTTCAAAAGTCGTGAAATTTCATAGTTACTCAAACATAAAAACAATAAAATTTTACAAATTTTCAATTTCAAAACTATTACATTTGAAATTTCACATTTTCTCAACACAAACTGTGAAATTTTACAGTTTTAGAAAATTAAGAAATTTACTTCAAAAACAACTAAAATTTCATAGTTTTTTTTATATGCATAATTTCATAATCCATTTTGATTTGATATTTCGACAAGTAGATTCTAAAAATTTTAATTTTATATAAAAAATACATCAATAAAATTTATGGCATTTTGAAGTTTGAATAAAATAAATAAAATAACTAATGATGTTGCTGAACATGTAATTAAGGCGCTCTCACTAAGAAAAATTTGTCCAAATATTTATTAAAATTTGAAAAACATAGCTTAACTTATAAAAAATAAAATCGATGTGATTTGAAATTGCCAATTGTATACCCATCACAATCTTCCTATTTAACTACTGATTGTGGAATTGTTAACAATTAAACAACAAAATCTCTCTTTTTAATCCTCCATACCTTATTAAAATTATTTAGAGTTTTGTATCATGTAAAACAAAACATCAAATCGGATCATACATATAACTCTCAAATTTCCAATTCATCAATCGGATTTCAATAAAAAGTGAATCAGGTTTAACCAAAGAGTAGTGCAAACCCAATATAGTATACCCAGATATACACATTTACGTAAAATTAACAGACAATTAAGCAATTAAAAAAAAAATTAAAATTCAAAATTCTCAAAAACCAAACAGGAAGTTGAATCGAAGAAGGTACCGCTGCTGTTTGGCTACTTGTTCTCTTTGCTTACTTGCTTCCTTTTTAATGGCTTCCATTGGGAAACTTACACTTATGTTTCACATTTCCTTTATATATGCGTGCGTATATATAATAATAATTCACTACACATGTGGGTAATTGCATAGAAATATAATAATAATAATAATAATAAACTAGAAGATTAGAGAAGTTCTAGGTTTGTGCAGATCCAGAGAAGACTCTACAAGAACAATCACAGACTCACAGGGTATGTAACGCTCTCATGAATAGAGTGAGGAGACCCAAAATGCAGACAAAAGAAGAGAGAGAGAGAGAGAGAGAGAGAGAGAGGGAGGAAAAGAGAGTGTTAACAAACAGTGTGGTCTTTCAGCATATATAAAAGGGCAAATTTCACATTACCATGGTTTGGTCCATGTAACGCCCTCAAAATAATAACATTAAACCCATCATATAACATGCATTTATATATAAAAGATCCACATTCTTCAATTCATCAGAGTATTTCATTACAAAAGTTTTACATGTTAACAACAAAAGCAAATGCCCTATGGGCTTACAGCTTTCCAAGTTAACACTTGGTTACAAAAGAGAATACTAACTCAATTACACATTAAGCCCTTGACTTGAATTTACATGTAATACATCAAAAGGAAATAACACAACAAAGTGCTGTCCGCCTCTAGCCTCCCAAGCTATGTCCTTGGAGGTGCATGCTACCTGTACCTGAAAATGATGTTCCATATAGGGTGAGCCACAGCCCAGCAGGAATATACTAAACCAACTATGAACAATGACTAAAAGATTAGCAGTTGATAGATGGCCAACACTGATACATCCATATATCACATCACAATTTCATAAACATACAAGTCTATGTCACTTTTCATTTCCCACCTTTATTCAATAGATAAGCATATTAGTTATATCAACATATCAATAGATAAGCGTATTAGCCGTATCCACACTTCACTAAACAAGCATATGAGCTGTATCTACACTTCTCAAAGATAAGCCTATGAGCTGTATCTTCACTTCTCTAGACAAGCATATGAGCTGTATCTACGGAGTTCATCCTCCATCTCCTCCCAACACTATCCGGTTTAGAGGTTCATCCCCCATCTTCCCTAAACGCGGAGTACATCCCCATCTCCTCATCTACACACAATGCATATGTTTTTTTTTTTTTTTTGGTGCATGAATTGTGAAATTTCATGGTTTATATATAGAAAATTGTGAAAAAATTTCTCTCATTTTATCTTCAAAATTTTATATTGAATATAGCTTTGTTGTTTGATAAATATTCTTGAATATGTTTCAAAATTATAAAATTTAGGGCAAACTTCACTTTATTTTTTGTGGCTTGAGTTATGTGCGGTTTACGCCTCTAACATTTGGAAATGACCATAAAACCTCATTGTGGTTTGTGATTGAAGTGTACCGTTTGGTTAGATTCGTTAACGATTTAATAAAAAAGATTAAAATATCTTTATATTTGTACCATTAGTTTAGAAGATAAAGTGCACTTTAACCCCCTTACTTTATTCCGTGTGCAATTTACCCTTTTAAAATTTGAAACTTGAAAATAAACATATAACCCATTATGTCTGTCATGTGTTTCACACTTGTTATTAAGTTACATGGAATGTTTAACGGTGCATTTCAGTTCACAAATCACGTGAGGGTTGTATCGTCATTTCCAATCAACCTTTTTTTCTTCTTCTTCTTAATGCTTAATAATAAATTAGCATGGTCAAGTTTACGCTTGGAACCTATGGCTGGTTAAGAATGATATGTTGACTAATTATTTTTTATATGGTACATATAATACAATATGTAAATTATGATTTAAATTGATATTGGTAAGAATTATTATGATGTTTGTTTATACACCATTGTGATGAAGAGATTATAATAAATTATCAAATCAAAATTAAATGCATCCTATTATGTTGTTTTGTTATTTTGTAAAATTGTATTAGTTACTATTTATTGTAATTATTTTGTTATAACAAAAATCATATTCCATATCAAAATAGTTTTAGTGATTATCATTATTAGCACATATATGTATATTTTTTTAATCCAATACTGAGTAGTGGAATAAATATAATATGTAATTTTGATTATTATTTTTCTAAATATACAGAGTAATATAACCAATTATGAATATATTTGTTAGATTCCTCATGAAGAACCCACCTAGTCCTACGTAAAAGTTTTCAACTCATCTCACTCATCAATCCATGAAGTGACTTAAAAGCCGAGAAAGAGAGTGTAAGAGTAATCACTCCACTTGAATTTTTGGGAAAATTATAAAAATAAATAAAAAAATTCAAAGTTTAAGTCTTATAATAAAATAAGTCTTGAATTTTTAATTTGTCAATTTAAGGTTTAAACTTTTGATTTGCTTTCAATTTAAGCCATTTTCCTATTTTTATTTACTTAATAAAGTATTTTAAATTTAAACATTTTATGTATACCTATATTGAGTTTAATGATTAAAATACTATTTTTCCGCCGCTTTTACTTAACGAAAATAGACAAATGATTTAAATTGAAAATAAATCAAAAGATTAGAATTTAGGAATTTTTATTGATAAATCCATTTTAGAGTTGTTGTAACTCATTAGTTCCACAAAGGATTATTATAACCTGATTAGTCCCATGTACTTTTCTTTTTATTCCATCAGGTCCATTTTACTAATTTTATATTTTTAAATGGACTATTATGCCCTTATATATATACATTGTGTTGATACACATACCATGTTGCCCTTTTTTTTTTCATTTATTCTGTTTTGGTAGTTTCTATCTTTACGCTTTTGATCATTATTCTAATTCAGATAGATACATTTCTATTTTACAAGCTCGTTTCAAGGCTTTGATGTACTAGGGTCTCATTGTTACTATTGTAGTACGGTTCTGTGATTTTGGATTGAAGACGACGGATTGGGCGGTGTTCGGTTGTAACATTTTTTGGAGTATAACTAGTTGAAATCAGTTGTCTTTGAGTTACAGGACGAGTGTAGGATTGCATGATTAAGGTTAGTATCATTTTAGTTATGAATACATGTTCAGTTTATGTTTTGATTTGTATGATGGATGAGATACTCTGTTTTTTGATTGATATGGATCGGATGCTCTGTTTGTTCAATTATATGCATTTTACGTGGTCTTGTGGAGGAGAGGTCATTCAGATTATGTGAAAAATGTGGATGTTCTCATTTTGCTTTGATGTTTGCTTAATGAGGCTATGTGCGAGCGAGATAATTCAGAGTATATGTAACAATGTAAATGTTCACATGTTGTTAATATGAAGTTATGGAGGGTTGCTTGCATGTTGTGTACTGTCACCTTATTGTGGTGGTGTCATTTTGATATTGTAAAATGTTTTATGTTGTGTAAAAAAGGTGGTGATAGTTTTTATTATGGATTTAGCAGTTGAACTATACACACAGGCATTTCATTTTTACACAATGTGAATTTTCATATCATTTGGATTATTGTATGTGTTGTTGTTCGTATGGTTGCAATGTGGTTGTTGTATTGTTGTGTTTTTACAGGAGATAAATACCTTTATGATGTTGATGTGCACGTATGGTTGCAGTACAACTGTAATAAATGTTGCCCGCGCATTGTGTTATTCGCTTTTGGTGGAGTGTTTGTGTGAAAAATGGGGTGAGTTATCTGCTTGTTCTATTTCATTGTTTTGTCGGCTACTTGGGATTAATAGGTGTGATTTGGACAATGAGGAAGAATTTCAGAACATGTTATTGCTTGCTAAATCAATGGGGATACAACATGTAGAAGTTGTCATTGAGTTGAAAAGTGATATTTGTCAGTCGAGTAGCTCTGGGTCACTGTGTGTGAGGGGTGAGGAAGAAATTGATGCACTACGAAGATTTTGCCACCATAAGGAGAAAGTGTTATTGTCAGCCCCTTGGGCAAATGGTATTACACATGTCGGACAACGGTTTATTGGAGGTGCACAAGAATTTCGTAATGTTTTATGTAAGTATGTCATCCAATATGGGTTTCAATTTATGTATGTCAAGAACGAGACAACAAGGGTTATTGCGATGTGTGCGATGCGCGAGGAGAGAGGCTGCTTGTGGGCTATACATTGTAGAGCACAATGAGCAAATGGTTTTTTTCTACATCAAGAGGTTCAGTGATGTGCATAGTTGTGGTACGGATGTCCAAACATCGAAGAATTCGAGAGTTAGTTCTGATTTGGTGTCGAGTATTATATCTGAAATTATGAGGGACAAGCTGTTGACTAAGCCGTGTGAGGTGGTGACTATTTTGAAGAGGGATTATGGGCTAGATGTGAGTTATCACGTGGTATGGTTGGGCGTGGAGAAAGAAAAGGTTGTTATTCATGGAGATCACTCATTATCGTTTGACCAGTTGCGGTGGTATTCGGATGCTGTGATGCGTTACAATTCGGAGAGTTATATCAATATTGACTATGTTGCGAGTAGTCAATAGTTTTGTTATTTCTTTGTATCATTCGCTGCGTGTATTTCTGGGTTCAATTCTTGTCGGCCTTTATTATTTCTAGATGGAACATTCCTTAAAGGAAAGTACAAAGGTCGGCTACTTAAGGTAACGGTGAAAGATGAAAACAATGGTTAGTATTTTTTTTAGCTGTTTATTCATGTAAATATTTACTTTGAGCGGCATAGTGTGGACATATGACAAACCATTACACAATGTAAATATTCACATGACCTGTTTCCTTTATAGTGTTTTTGTAAACTATTTGTGTTACTATTCACATTGGAATATTGTGAACAGTTGTTTATTGGTGTTGTGTTGCAGGTTTATTTCCTGTTGCATTTGCGATTGTTAATTCAGAGACCACGACCAATTGGTCGTGGTTCTTGCACGAACTTGGGAAGGTTGTTGATGGTAAGCGTCAAATTACTTTTATTTCGGACCGTAATCTTGGTCTGTTAGAAGCGATGCTGAAGGTGTTCCCATTTGCTCACCACAGTTATTGCTTACAACACTTGAAGAACAACTTAAGAGACCGAATGAAGGGAATTGATAATGGATTTAGGGATCACCTCGTTAGTAGTTTGGGTGACTGTGCTTACGAGCTAACTATGGTAGGGTTCCATGAAAAGCTTGAGAAATTAAAAGAGGAAGGTAAACAACGAGCACGTAGTTTTTTCAAGGAGTTGGCACCTGAGCACTGGGCGAATTCATACTTCAGGTAATAGTAGTTTCCTGATGTATTCCATTTGTCAAGTTTAAAATGGTAGCGATGTGAAATTTCAGTTATGTTTTGTGACGATATGAAATTTTGATATTCAGTTTCGAAGAAATTTAATTCAATATTGTACAATGTTTTTAATGTTATGTAGGGGTATGCGTTATGGGGAGATGACATCCAATGCGGCGGAGTCATTTAATAATTGGATTAAAGAAGTACACAATCTTCCTATCACTCAGATGATGGACACAATTCGTACTTAGTTGATATGGCAAATGTCTGCGCGGCGTGACCAAGCAAACAAGTGGAATGAGCTTATTTATCCTACATTCAAAACAATGCTTCTTGATTCGTTCAATGACAGCAGGTCTTGGCAGGTGAGCAAAGCCAATGAGGATGTGTTTGAGGTTCATTCTATACCATTTGTTACAGCTGATATTGCAAGGCGTACGTATTCTTGCTTCAAATGGCAAATCAACGGATTCCCATGTGACCATGCTATTATTGCTATTCAGAAAAGCCGCTACAATCTCAATGATTGTGTGGAACATTACTTTCATGTAGAGACGTATCGTACAGCCTATTTGGGTGCCATACCCCCTATACTATTAGTGGAAAAGCCACATTTTGATCCCAAGGACTTCACTATATACCCACCAACTGTGAAAAGACCACCCAGCAGGCCGAAAAATAATAGAATCCCATCAAGGGATGAGAAACTGAAGCAAATAAAGTGCAGTAGATGTGATAAGTTGGGAAGCCACAATTGGAAATCATGCAAGGAGCCGATATAGGGTGTACATTTTTTCATTTCAGCATTGTGTTTTACATGGGATTCTTATATTGATTTTTCAAATAAGACTGTGTTATGTTGGCAAACATTGTGTTGCAATAAGATTACGTTGTGTTGGCAAACATAATGATGCATTGGCAAACCTAATAATGCATTAGGATTTGATTTGTGTTTTTTTTTTTTTAGGTAGCAAACTGACATTGTTGTTGGTGTGTTAAAGATGAATACATGATGTGAACATTCACACTTGTATAAGATAATCACATTATGTGAATACTTGCACATGGATTGAGCTTTTTAACATTATTGTGGTGTGAATATTCAAATTCTTATTACCATTGACAGCATCAAAGTAGATGACATGAACATTTACATCAATGTAACCATTCACATCATCAAATTAGAAGATGTGAATATTCAGATATGAATTACGAAATGTAATTGTGAGTGTTTTTTGCAAGAAAAAATAAGATGTTCTTGTGTATATTATGATGCATGCATGGGCGTGGTGTGAATATTGACATCGCTGCTGCCATTCACATCATCAAATTATTTGCTGTGAATATTGACTTATGTGTTAAGAAATATCATATTCACACCTGTCATATTGTGTTATAATAACACTTTAAGCAATATTCATATACATGTAATAGGGCTTTAAACATAAGAATGTGTATGATCCTTCCGTGACGTAGAAATTCACATCATGTCGTGTGTCAAAAAAAAAAAAATACAATCTCAATGTGCATGATCAATACGAAATAGGCCTCAAAATGGATATACATATATTGAATAAAAAATAGCAGTACAAGTAGTGATATAGAATTGATTTACAATCAAGCTAGTCTGCTCCAATATGTCAAATCTATTGATAATAAATTGTCTTAAATGGGGATAACAGTTTCGGATAACAGTGATAGGTGGACACCCCCCACCTGTAGGTTTTCACATTGCACTGTCTTTCTATGATTCAGAAAAAGATGTACTAATGAGTCTCTTATTTGACACCATTCAAAACGAACAATTTCTTCACGGTATACATGCGCCCTTATGATATAACACACTACAGGCCCGCAATCCACCCTAAAAATGCAAAGTTGTTGTTGTTAGATTTTGAAATTTAGGTGTGTATAATGGTTATGGAAGATGTGTACAAATTGATTTGAGGCTTACGAATTTGATGCTTGCTGAGGACAGATGTCTACTGATATGATTGGTTGCGATGGATTTTAGCCTGATAATTTGGTCCATAGTGGTGATGATGGTCTGATGTTGCGCACCACAGCCTCGATATAGTCCCTCTGCCATGGGGGGAACAATGAAATTTCATATTAGGCACAAAGCAACATAGTGCATACGTCCAAGTTCAAATATTACACATCATGACAAGCATTATATGTGTCAGCCACTTACGACTATTTGTGCTCTGTCAATATATGGGTCATGTATGCTGGTTCTTGGTCGTAATAAGTTATAATGCCTCCATAGATTGTCTTTGACGTCGTACACAACAATCGTCCAGTGAAAGTTATGGTGTATTGGGAAGATGAAGTATTTCTGGCCTTGATAATCATTGATATGTACATCAATCAGTTTATTTCTCTTGTAGGAGGGGAGTACTCTTGCATGACTTTCTGTACACAATGGGCATACAATGATGTACCAAGTATTTATATCATTGGTCATTGTGAATGATGTGAATGTTCACATCTGTTAATTTGTCAAACAGTCTTATAATGTATTACAGATGTGAATGTTCACACCTGGTAATTTCTCAAACTTCCTAATACATGAATGTTCATTGTGAATGATGTGAATGTTCACACCTGTCACATTATGTTGTTGTTAACATTCACATCTATTTAGCATTTAAGTTAATAATATAAGCATATAATGTTGAGATGAACAATCACATCTATTGAACATGCAAATCAAATACTGTTTATGTGAACATTCTTGTCAACATCAAACATAAACAAACCAAAAGTTTAGTTGTTACCAAACATGTGCTTGTAAAGATGGATGTCGAATCCTCCAAAGTTGGGTTGACTAACCCTTGTAGTTCGAGTAGTATTTCACCATATGCATCTATCACCTGCACAAACAAAGGGGTGGCAGTACATTATTTCTAGTGTCTTTAAAGTGTGTACAAACAAAGGGGTGGCAGTACATTATTTCTAGTGTCTTTAAAGCGTGTGTGTGTGTGTGTGTGTGTGTGTGTGTGTGTGTGCGTGTGTGTGTTGTGTATTGATTCTTCCTTGATGATGTGTATGATGTTATCAAAATACACGTTTCTAGACTTTGAGTCCCCTCGCCACACAAGTAACATATGCATTGTGATTACAGAAAATGTGAATGTTAACATTGCACAATTATAAAATGATCTAATCTATTAAGTACATGTGTAAAGCTTAACATCATCATAAAAATAAATTCAATTTCAATATGTATGATCACTTACTCATCACCGCCGTTCTTGTACAAATTTTGGACCTTCTGCTTATTGAGTTTGCTCATGTTAGCCCAAACCTTCAGTTTGTTGATCAATGTTAACTTCTTGTACTTTGTTGGGTGTTTTTTTTTGTGGATGTTTGTCTAAATCTTGTACAATGTGGACTGCATGGGATTGCTCTTCGGCTCCCTCTTTCCTTTTCTTTTGACCAGGCAAGTTGGGGTATTCAAACTCATCCAACCGGTGCTCTTTCCTCACTTTCTGCTTGATTTACCCTCGATGGTGGGCTAATAATGTGTTCTAATGCTGCAGTGGGATGCTTGTTAAGGCTGTCATGAGCCTTTTGTGCTTCAACTTGAGTGATAATGTGGACGGACTAATCGTCAAAAAGGTCTTGAAGAATTGTTTTTTCACATTCCAGGTTCACGACCAACTTTGTCAGCCGCTGAATTTCTTTATCTTTCCACTCCATGCAATTCTTCATGTCCATGTCCATATTGGATGGGCCCGATTGGTCAAATAGTTTCGCTTCCCATTGTCGTACAAGACCCCAAGCTTTTTGGTTTTCTTTTATAAGTACATCTACAATGTCTGGCTCAGTTGATTGTGCTTTGATGATACCTTTCTCAGCATTGGGGGTGTTACAACTGGGGTTGATATCATGTCCAACTTCATTCAGGTCCATTGCATCGACAGAAAATCCATCCTTGTCATCACTGCGTTGACTGTCTTAGGTCATATACACAATCAATCAATACATAGTGTTAATGTATTCTATCAACCGTCATACTCTATGACATATCCAATTGATTAGTTTTAGTTTGCCTAATCATCATGCATTGTCTACAACAATCAAACTACCATCCACCGGTAGCCCAAGCAATTATTTCTAAACAGATAATAAAAGCTCCAATAGATAAAATATCAGTATTTTTAAAAGTGAGTGATTAATAAATCTAACTCCACTATTCAACCATATAATGAACCAATTTCATTATTTTCAACTCAATTCCATAAAGTCACAATTTTTCCAAAATTAGGGTTTTCCACCCGATTTCCAAATATTGACCCAATGGTCTAAATATCAACAACCAATAACGATAACATTATTTTGAACCCACAATACACATTTTAGACTCAAAATAACAAATCCTCTTTTAACATTTTGAAACCCTAAGTCCCAAAATTACCCAACTTAAACACTTTATCAAAACAACCAAAAATCTATGTCAAAGACCATAAGAGTGAGTATGAATCCCTACCTCAAATTCGGAGCTCAAGGAAAGAAGGTGAAGAAACTCAACGTGCTCCAAAACTCAATATTCTCGGATCAATGTGCAGCCCTTGATGATCAACCCAACTTTTACAAAGGCCGAAGGAAAAGGAAATACTCTAACTAGATCAAACCCTAGAGAGAAGGGAGTTTCTAGAGAGAGGAACTCTCAAAATGTCTTTTTAGAAAGTAAGAGAGAGAGAGAGAATGTAAAAAGTGATTTTAAAATGCCCACGTGCCAACTGATATACGACGTTCCCGCTCGAGCGGAGAACACAACGCTCGAGTGTCAAGAACAAAAACTAGGTACGCTCGAGCGCAATAAGGCCCGCTCGAGCGCCAAGACACAAGAATAAAGTACATCCGGTCGAGCGCGAAAACCAGTCCGCTTGAGCGTAGATTTCCCCCTCCCAGAACTTACACCAAAAAGTACTACCCGCTCGAGCGCCAGAGTACCCGCTCGAGCTCCACCGCTCAAGGGCAAAGAAACCCGCTTGAGCATGAAAAACATGCCTGCAGAAGTTCTGCAGAGCACCAAAATACTAGGAGCGTGCAATCTCCGCTCGAGCGTAAGAAGACCCGCTCGAGCAGACCTCCTAAAAACTGGGCAACAAAGAATTGAAACCAAAGCCTAACCAACCTGTAACAACTCTGCCCAATACATCCTAAAACCCGAACAAATGGAATTAAAGGATGACAACAAGATAGATACAACTGCCAACTCCACGGAACTGAGTCCGGAATACAATAGAATAGTAAAGGGACAACCGAGATCGCTATAGCTTTACCCTAGATGGTGGGCTAAGAATGTCTTTCAGTGCTGCAATGAGATGCTTCTTAAGGCTGTTATGAGCCTTTTGTTCTTCGACTTGCGTGATAATGTGGACGAACTGATCATCGTAAATGTAACAACCCGACCTATGATTAACGTTAATCCATGCTTAAGTGTGCCTAACAAGTAATTAGGAAGAAATCCTCAGTTAATTACATGTGCATTGCATTATTTTTGTGTTTATATTTGTTTAACGTAAGAAGATCTGTTCATGTTTTTGTTTTGGTTTGCGAGTTGAAAGCCTTATAGGTATTTGATTTAGAAATTGACTTGATAGACGTTATTTCGAATTTTAGGATTTTATGGTAAGTTCAATTTGAAATTGATTCGGAATCGAATAATTAGAATCAAATAATTCCAATTGGTTAGTCTAAGCTTGGATTAATTAAGCTCCACTAATTAGCCTATATAAGGCCACTACCAAGCCCAAAACTTCTTTTCTCTTCATCCATTTTGAGCTCAAACGTGTAAAAGAAGGAGAAGAGAGAAATTGAAGCCAAAAATTTAAGGAAGAAGAGAATTAGGGAAGATTGAAGGGAATTGAGGAAGTTTAGCTCTAACACTAGCTAACTCAAAACTTTAGGTAAGAGATTTAACTCTTTAATTATGAAATTGAATTACTTAGTGCAAGAATTCAAGGGAATTAGAGGTTTGAACATGAGAATTAAATTAAGAATGTAAAATGAAAGAGTAATTCGTGCATGCATGCATAATTCATGCATTTTGAGATTAATTTCCAAGAATTCCCTCATGCATGTCTTGAATTCACCCTAATTTTGGGAAATCATCAAGTTTCATGTTGTTTTGTAGCATTTGATCATGTTTTGAGAAGTTTGAGTTCAAAGGAATTCATGCATGTCATGTTCATGG